GATCCATATTTAGAAACACAGGAAAGACTGTTATCTTGGGACGTAGGAGCCTGTATAAAATGAAAGCCCTGCTCGTGCTTTATAGCAGAAACCAAAACAAACAATGGTTGAGCATTTTTCTGTTCATGGTTAAACCCAACACGGAGTCCCCGTCTCTAAACTCTCCAAAACTGAAGGCCGCTGCCCTACAACAGGATGTTTACTTCTTCCTGCCTCTGTTTCCCACCTGAAATCACAGGACACATTCACAGCAAAGGAAAGTCACGGGCTTTTGCCACTCCTTGTCTTACCCACAATGCAACGCTTTCACTCAGCTCTTATTAATGACCACAGTGAGCAGTTGTGATATCATGATTAATAACAAGCCAATCAAAGACTCTATTTTTTCTTCCTGTTTCAGCAAAACGGGTTACATAATCTTTCCAACAGAGAGAAGCAATTATGGGTACCTCTCAAAACTTCAATATAATATTTGGACCATATATCTGTTTCTGATATTCACTTTAATTTTTAAAAACATAGAGAGAAAGCAAAATAAATTTTATCCTAGACATTATTACACTTGAAAGGACCTCACGGCTCACATATTCCAAGCACTCATTCTTCAGGTGAAGAACTGAAACTGACACAGGTCAAGTGACCAGGCCACCTGGCTGGTAAGTGACAGAGTGACTGAGGGAGGCTCTAACCTGAGTCCTCCAGGCCCTTTATACAGGGCCCTTCACCTTCCACCTTCCCTGAGGCTGGTTCCTGGGCCACCTCAGCATCTGATTCTCCTAATTACGAGACAGGATATGAACAAATACATTTCCAAGTAAGCATGGCCTCCGTTTGCGTAGATTTCGATATTCCTAAAGACTCCTTTTCCCCCCATTGACACTCTCCTAAAGACCTGAGGACTGTAGCCTCTCACCATAGAGCAGGCTTTCTTCCCTGGGCATCTGGACATCGAGGGTCAGAGACTCTCTTGGGCACTGTAGAATGTGTCACCGCAATCCTGGCCTCTACCCAGTAGACGCCAACAGTGTCCCCCATGGTGCTGAAAGCAAAATTTCTCCAGATATCGCCAGTGTCCTCTGAGGGCAGAAGTGCCCCGGAGAAGTGCCCTATCATCATATCTCCTGCACATCCATCAGTTTTCAGGACGCCCCGGGGCATCCGATGTCAGAGCTCTGGGGCGATCGCAGAACTTTCAATACATTATCTGTGGAATGGAGAGGGTGGTCCCCTGGTTTCCTTAGAAGGACAAAGCAGTGACCCCATCTAGTCACAAGAATGATCAGGACAAGGGTAAGTTTACAGAGAGATAATGGTGAAGTGATGTGAAAGATAATAAAAGGAGAAGTGGGAGAGAAAAAAAAAACACACACACACACACAGCAGAAAGGGAAATGGAAGGAAGAAAGAGGTCAGCAGACCAAGGGGACTTTAGCATTCCGGTATTTGTAGGACAGAGCAACCCATTATAAGATAAAGTGGTATTTTTCATCAGGCATAATTTTTTTAAAAAGGCAACTCAGTTAGAGAAAAAGGGTCAAGAACTTTCCACCAATTCATTGTGAGGCTTTAGGAAAGAACCATTGTCCCCAGACGCCAGACCCCTCGGGGGAGTTCTATATGAAGTCCTTTGTTAAGCCTCACATGCTTAAGACTGTGAAGCCCTTGAAAACAGCTTATCCTGGCGTTTCACCCACCTTGCTGTTCCTGGCGCACAATGAATCTGAATGAAGTTTTATAACAACAAGCCTTTAAAATAATGAGCATGACTCTTCACATCCAGGGCACAGATCAATTTTCTTTAGCTACTACTTCCCATAAACCTATTTAACCTCAAACACCCCCTGGGAAACAGAAAGGCTCTGGGTATTTGTCAGACTGTTCCTCTCCTTGGAGTGTCCAGGTGGCTGGGTTGAATGGAAGCCCTAGATTTGACTCAACTCCAAAATATGTGGACAGCAACATGCTTATTTCTGAATCTGGCCAAGGTAACATTTGACAAGCTGACCACTCAATTCTTACAGTACCTCTTCTTCTGTGTATGCTTAAAAGGATGCATTAGAAAAGGATCGTTTTATTTTATTTTTTCTTAATTTATTTTTGTTACTGATATTTCTCCTTTTCCCCCCATTGACACTCTCCTCCCAATCCCATCCCCTACCCCCCAGCATTGTTGTCTGTGTCCACTGGGTATGCATATATGCATATAAATTCTTTGCTTTATCTATTCCCTCCCCCTGACCCCCTCTTCTGAGGTTTGTCAGCCCATACCCTACTTCTATGTCTCTGGGTCTATTTTGTTCACTATATTCCACAAATAAGTGATATTTGTCTTTCTCTGATTGAATTATTTCGCTCAACATAATACTCTCCAGGTCCCTCCATGTCGTCTCAAAGGATAAGAGATCTCTCCTTCTTACAGCTGCATAGTATTCCATTGTGTACATGTACCACAGCTAGAAAAGGATTCTTTTAAAAAAGGTATTATTGCAGTTAGTTTTCATGCATAAACAAAATGAACAACAATAAAACCTCTCTAATCCTATGATCCTCAAACTTCAAAGTGCATAGGACTCACCTGAAGATACTGTTAAGACACAGATCCTAACCCATGCTGGGGTGGGGCCTGAGAGTCTGCATTTCTACTGAGCTCCTAGGCGGTGCTCATATGGCTTTAGTAAGAAGGCTTACTAAGTCTAATCCAGTCTCAAAACTCATCCATCTTATTTTCCTCCTGTACACATTGTGAGAAATTAAAGCCCTTCATGATATAACCCAACCTAGCTTCAGCTCCACTAACTCCCTTCACCCAACCCTATATACTGTGCAGCAGCCACACTAATTCCATGCTGTTCCCTAAAATGCCATGTGCACTGCATGGCCCTGGTTTGGTCACACAGTCCCTCTGCCGGGATGGCTCTATCGCCAAAATCTTCACCACCTATTCAAGGCCTAAGTCAAATGTCAGTTCCAAGAAGCCTCCCCAAGCCCTCTAGGAATAAAGCATCTGTCCCATTCACCACACCTTGCACTTGGCATTCAAATATCGACACTGGCGTGTCTGGTTTTCTGGAAAGTTATAGCCCATCCAAGAAAAGTATAAAATACCTGGAGCCTAATTTGGGAGTTAAAAAGACAGTTTCTAACCTTCACATCCCTGGCTCCTGAAGAAAGGAGTCCACGGGTCAATCCTGTGAGTGAAAATTCCATAGGATTACCTCCCACACTTTTGGCTCCAAAATGAATGTTTCGGGCACTCTGAGATATATCCCATCTACTCAAGAATATCACTGCAATAGTGGGGGCCCCCACCTCTCAGCATGGATTTTTCCTGATTGTCTCCAAGTTCATTCTTATCAGCATAAACTACCTCCCACTATAAAAAACAAACATACACAGTGAAAAAACCCTCCCTTATGACCAAATCATCCTCCACCCCATTTTTCTCTTCCTCTTTATAGCAAAACTCCAAGAAGTTGTCAAACTCACCATCCCTACTTCCTCCCCTTCCATCCTCTCTTAAACCACATCTTTGCTATCAAACAAAGGATCAAAGCGTTGCCAAAGCAACAGTCAACTACCCAGACTCCTCCCACTTGATCTTCAGGCAGCGTCAGATGTAGCCGGTCATCCTCACCCTGAAACCCTTGTCTTCTGGAACATAACTTCTTCTCTCCTCTCCTTCCCTCAGCCGCTCGGCTCCAGGCTCCTCGGCTGGACCCACCCTTGTCCTAACCTGACACTGAAGGGAACCAAGGCTCTGCTCAACACCGCCAGGTTAGAAAGCACGCCCTGGCACCCTCCCTGAATCCAACTCCCCATCAGGACCCAGCCCCCTCACCTACTTCTTTGCACCCCTCTCTTCTCTATCTACCATTCATCCCCAGGAGGTCATATCCAGCCCCACAGCTGTAAATAACACGTGTAAACTAAGGATGCTCACATGTATATCTCCAGTCCAGACTTCTCCCTGAACTCTAGACTCATCCGATTACCTCAAAATGAACATGTCTAAGACTAAGTTACTGACACACTCCCATCAACAGTTCCTGCCCGCCAGTCAGTCCTGGCTCGTGAAACTGAGGTCCTGTCCTAGAGATGCTCACACCACAAGCCTGGAGGCGTCCTCACCTCCTCTTCTCGTCTCATGTGCCCCATGCACTCCCCAGCACCTCCTGCCAGCGACGCCGTCCACACTCTGCAGAAGCTGGGCTCCTCTGCTGTACCTCCAGTCCGCCTGCCCTCATCCTTTGCCGGGGTCCTTTCAAGGGCCCTAACCAGGCTCCCTGCTGGTATTCTTACCCCATCCCCTCCATTATAAAACCGTCAATCAGGTCATAGCACAAGTCTTCTCAAAACCTAAAGGCTTATCTTCCTCAGAATAAAATTCAATGTCCATCGCGAGGCCTTTGAGTCCCCACCACCGCGGCCCCTGCCACCTTACAGATCGTATCCCCTAGCAACTGCCACTCCAATCACTGCTCCGGCCTCACTCCCCTCCCCACTGCTCCCTGAACAGTGTTCCGGCCTCATCGCTTCTCCCGGACTCTCTTTGCCCGGGATGATCACAAAGCCCAGCCCTCACCGTGCTCCGGTGTCTGACCCAACATCATGGGTCAGAAAGCAAATGCCTCGTGCCCCATGAGAGTCAGACCCTCCATCCGGTCGGGCCCCCTGCCTGCTTCCTCCCTCTTTGCGTGGACTCTCTGTCTCTCTCTGCTACAGTATAAACTTCATGAGAGCTGGGACTTACGTATTTTGTTCAGGGCTGTATCCCTAACACAGGACCTGGCAAACAGTAAGTGCTCAATATATTTTTACCAGATGAATAACCGAATGTCATTAGATGGTCAAAAAATAAGTATATGTGCTCATACATTATGGAAAGAAAAAACTAAACACATGGCAATATTCCAAAGGAATTAAAAGCTCTTCTGAACTACGTCGTTTCAAGATAAGAAGCCTTGCCCGAGAGCTGGCACGCAGAGGACAGACATACTCACTTCCTGATCACCGTCCTGGACTCCGAGGAACCTGGGCTTCCCTCTTCTTCACAGCTCGGGCTTGTCAGGTTTCCATACCTTTGGGGATACAAGCAAACAAGACCAGTCCGTGGCGTGCAGAGCAACTCTACTCCGTTCAACCACGACATCACAGCGGCTCTTTTTAGGAGTAACTCAGGAAAGAAATGTTTATGAAATAACATCAGAAATGATACTGTTTTGTTGATATTCACTTAGTGGGTATCTCTGTATATTCTAAACAGAGAAGGGACAAGGAATCACCCTACTTAACACTCTCTTACAGTTAACATTACTTTGAATTTTAAAAAAATGAAATCGGGCTGTTCTCTCAGCTGCAGGATCAGATGTTACACGTCCTCCGTGAACTCTGGAGCACTCGGCCCGACCCCACACCCTCTGCCGGGTCCACCAGCCGCGGCCCTGCTGGCACTCTCACACCCGCGCCATCGGGGGCACAAAGTCACGCCCCTCTCGGGCGGAGCCACGCCCCTCTCGGGCAGAGGCACGCCCCTCTCGGGCACAAAGTCACGCCCCTCTCGGGCAGAGGCACGCCCCTCTAGGGCAGAGTCACGCCCCTCGCGGGCGCAGAGTCACACCCCTCTCGGGCGGAGCCACGCCCCTCTAGGGCAGAGTCACGCCCCTCGCGGGCGCAGAGTCACACCCCTCGCGGGCGGAGTCACAACCCTCGTGGGCACGCAGTCACTCCACACTGCACTCCGGCTGAGGCTCCGTCGAGGCCAAGGCCTGTCAGAAAAGGGTCATGGAAATAATTCCGGCCCCTCACGTGATGTCTGAGACCGACTAGGCCCGAGGAGCAGGCCAGGAGCAGCTGTGGGTCACGCAGGCTGGCCCATCCCCAGCAGCCAGGGAAGGGGACCGTGGGCACAACATTTTAGAGAGCAGCGGGTGCTGACACTTTCCAGTTATCTCAGTGCACACTCAGCATGTGCACACTCGGCATGTGCACACTCAGCATGTGTGCACTGAGCCATCGGTCCCTGCGCACACCGCTCTGCTCTGGCAGCGCTGCGAGCAACACGCCTGCTTCCCGGGGTCCACGGCTCACCCCGCCAGCTCACTCGGGCCCTCCGGGAGTCTTCCACTACCCCTCGTGCTGCGACTGTTCCCACCGATGAGGAATTCAGACTCCCTGGAGTTCCCCAGCTGGTAGCCTGTGCCCAAGTTTCGATAATAGCAATTCTATAATTGGCAGGTTTGCATTTTTAAAGCACACACTTTTATCTCCTGCTAATGGGATTAAAGGCCCCGCCCTCCCTTATGGTTCCTGGTTCCTAGGATTTAAAATCCTTTGAAAAATAAAAATGCACCATCTGGTTTGACCAAATGCCAGCCCGTCTGGCCTCCCTCTCACCCGATCCTGGTAGGTTCCAGTGGGTACCCCTAGGCATTAAGCCACCCCGGCCCCCGCCTATCCAGCTGCTCCTTTTCAGAGCCCAGCAGCCTTGTGGAACCCTTGGCCCCGCAAAGATCTTCCGTGGCCTCCGCCCTGCCTGTCCCCCTCATTCTGTCCTGCACCTGCTACTTCCCAGGCCTTCCAGGGCTGCCCTTTGCTTTTCCTGAGACAGGAACCCGGTCAAGTTCAGACTCACTCAACCCGGTGAGCAAGGCCGGGATGGGAAGGGAGATTCCTAGCAAAGGAACGCGGGGGAAATTCTGGCTCTCCCGCGGCCACCACAGAGCGCCGAGCCCTCCTGTTCTCACGACAGGCTCTGTGGTTGAGGAGGACAGAACAGGGCGGGTGCCCCGAGGCCATGGACGGCCCACCGACCTGACAGAGTGCCCCAGCAGCTCTTCCTGCCGGGCCTCCAGCCTCTCTCAGGTTATCCTGGAGATCGCGCATCGTTTCTCTTCCAACCGGGAGCCATGATGGAGAGAAATAAAAAGGAAAACCCCTCACCAGGAAAAGACACACATTTTACTGCTCCTGTGCTTTTTCTCTTCAGAGGTGTTTGTACTGAAAGTCTCCTGATCTTCCTAGTCCTTGTCTCTCCTTTAGCATCTCAAACTCTGCTGCTCTGTCTCTGCATTTTCCAGGCTCAGAGCTGAGATGCTGGCTCAGATGGCGCCACACCTGTCACAGTTCCTCTCCGCTCCCAGAGGGAGATGCCACAGGTTCAGGCTGGTGTGTCCCGAAGGACTAAGCAACCTACCCTGGGGAGCAAAGTTCTCTCTCACTGACTGAGCTAGGACCGTTTTCTCCGGATGTGAGCTGAGATCACACGGCTACTTCTGTCAGCCATCAGTGTGTGCAGGCTCATAACAGGACCAGACGGAGTCTATGATGATGGTCTGGAGACCACTGAGAAGCGTCAACAATAACACACACGTGGCAGAGGTCCGCATGGCCTAGGTGCTCCGGCTCAGAGTGCCGACATCCCTGACTCTTCTCCGCCCAACCCCCAGGAAACCCTTCCCACTCCGCCTTTATAACATGCCCTGAATCTAAACACGTCTCATCACCTCCACTGGGCTCAACCTACCAGCATCTTTGACCTGGAGCAATGCAACAGCGACCTAACTAGTCTCCTGGCTTCTGCAGGAGCCACAGGGATCCCAGTCCACCTAAACCGATCGCGTCATCACTCGGCTCAAAACCTCCCATGGCTCCCATCTCTCTCTGAGAAAAGACCAGTGTCTTACCTGTCTCACAAGGCCCGAGACGACCTTCCCTGATCTCTCTGACCTCACCTCCTACACGCCCTCACCCCCTCTCCCTCAGCCCACTGCCTCCTTGCTGTCCACCCACAGCCAGGCCTGCTCCAGCCTCAGGAGCTGGCACTCCTGCCGCCCCCTGCCACTCTGTGCCGATGGACACTCCCTCAGCTCCTCCGGGTCTTTGCTCAAAGGTCACTTTGTCAGCGAGGCCTTCCCTGACCATCTTATTGAAAACACAAACCAACTCTGACACCACCACCTTTTAACACCGGCTAAGGTACTGTGTGACTGATTAACTCACTGTGTTAACTGTCCACTGGAACCTGAACTCCGCCAGAGCAGGATTCTCGTCTCTTCTGCTCACTACTCTTTAGAACTGAAAACAGGCACCCAGCAGGCATGCTGATGGCTGTTTGTGGGGAGCAATGAGTGGTTTAGTAGGGTTCCCTAAGCAGACATGGAAATGGACCTCCCAGCTACGGGGTCTGCAAAGGCACCATCTGTGCACACAAGTGTCTTAACCTGCCTGTGCCTTCGTTTCTAGAGGTTGAGAAGCATAAAAAAGCTTTGGGATAGCTGTAATTACTCTAAAATTCTCAAGTTCAAATGCAAAAGAAAGAAAGGTTTAAGATCTTCATTTAAACTGAGATCACGAAGGTGCAAGAAGTATGACAATGCAAAAAAAATGTATATACAATTTTACAGACAAGACCTTTAGAAGTGAGATAAAATTATAAAGTGCCTATAACCCTCTGGAACGTAATGGACCGGAGATTATTTGCCCCTGAACTCTTCTTATCATTAAGGAGAATTAATGCTTTACAGTAAAGAAGTTAGATCAGCTTTGGTGTCAAGCACCCTTTAATGTTCCAGCTAGGGTACCTGAGAGTCCGTTTTACTAGATTAAGAGCATTCCTTTGATGTTCCCTGGACCTCTCACAGCTTCCCACCAAAAACCAAAGTCAAGCTCAATTCATTTATTCCAGGGGAGCAAATAAGAGCGTGTATATGTGTGTGTTTAATTAACAGCAGAATAGCTACAGACGAACCTGCCAACAATGTCACCTCCAATTTCTGCAAAGCCTCCCTAGGATTTGAGATCAAAGCTCCAACCTCTTAAGACGGCTTACCAATGAGAAACTGCCCTTCTTTAAATGGTAACTCATAAAACAAATTAAAACGCAAATTGTCAGGATGACTTTTGACATGCTTTTCTCTGTATCACAGGGCAAAAGATAGATTTACAAGTATCTCCTAAAGTACAGCCTTCAGCAATTATTTACTGCAGCCTAAAAAGTATTAGAAAAAAGAAGAAGAAGAAAAAAATAATGTTTAACTGGTTGCTAATATTTCAATAGGAAACAGTTTTTCCAGAGAGGATGGATGTATTGCTTAGAGCCCATGCGGGCAGATGAAATGTTTGATGTGTGTCTGAAGGGAACACCAGGGGTGTGTGGGGTTCAAAGAAACCCTAAGATACAACGGTGACCATGGACAGTGTTTCTGGTAGGGGGCCTTTCCACCCTTTGCCCCCAGGCAGAAACCCCTCGATCACATCAGACAAGGATGACAGAGGCCTGAAGAACTTCTTGGGCTCCACTGGATTCCGGCAAGCCGTCCAATAATAATAGCAGTTAACAGCTATCAAGAGCTATTATATGCCAGGCACTTACTGAGCACTTTGTATGATTTATGTTTTCATTTAATTTTCACAGGAATCCTATAGGGTGGTTTGTTGGTTTTTCGTTTTGTTTTTTTTAATCCTCACCCAAGGGTATTTTTCCATTGATTTTTAGATAGAGTAGAAGGGAGGGATGGGGGGAGAGAGTGAGAGAGAAACATTGATGTGAGAGAGACACATTGATTGGTTGCCTTCTACACAATCCCATCTGGGAGCAGGAATCAAACCTGCAACCCAGGTGCATACCCTTGACTGGAATCAAACCGGAGATGCTTCGGTCCACAGGCCAAAGCTCTAACTGCTGAGCCATACCAGCTAGGGCTAGGGTAGTATTATATTATTCCAATTTAACAGATGAGAAAATGAGGCCCAGGGAGTCTAAGTAATTTGCCCTTGAAAACACAGCTAGTAAGTGGAGCAGGGATTTGAGCCTTGATAGTCAGACTTACCAGCCTCTGAGTCACTGCCCTGCCACACAAGCTGTAGTTATTTTGTTTAGTTAGTCTATGTGTCCTCTTACCAGATTATAAATTCTTTGAGGTTAGAAACATTCAGCTTTTTATTCATTCATTCAGTTATTTATTCTTTCACTCATTTCGTCCTCATCTGATGAATACTTCCCAAGACTATTTCCAGCTACTGTCCTGGGCACTGGGAATACAGCAGTGAACCAACCAAAGCCCCTGTTTTCATGAGTGTG